CGCCCCCATCGATTCGCGTTTGCGGCCAAGCCTTCGCGTTAGCAAAGAAGAAAACTCCAACTGCCCAGTTTACTCTTCGCGTTCGCGAGAATACCTTCGCGAACGCGAAGAAGGACATGTCAGAACACCTGCTGCAGCAAAATACCAGATTTTCTAAGTCCAAAACAACCTGTGCCCTATTCGAAACTCACCCGAGCCCTCGGGGCTCCAAACCAAACATGTACACAAGTTTAAAAATATCATACGAACTTGCTCGCGCAATCAAATTGCCAAAATAACACCTAGAACTACGAATTTAGCACCAAATCAAATGAAATTCTCAAGAACACTTTAAAATTTCTAACTTCTCAACTGGACGTCCGAATCACGTCAAATCAACTCCGTTTCTCACCAAATTTTACAAACAAGTCTTAAATATTATATTGAACCAATACTGGGCTTTGTAACCAAAATACGAACCCGGTATCAACAAGGCCAAACATCAACCAATTCTTAAAAATAATTAATTTTCAGCATTGTAATTTTCATCAAAAATTCATAACTCGAGCTAGGGACCTCCGAATTCGATTCCGGGCATACGTCCAGGTCCCATAATTCAATACGGACCCACCGAGACCATCAAAATATGAATCTGGATCCGTTTACCAAAAATATTGATTGAAGTCAACTAAAATTAATTTCAAGGCAAAAATTATTATTTTCATCAATTTTCAACATAAAGGTTTTTTGGAAACACGCCCGGACTGTGCACGTAAATCGAGAAGAATAAAAATGAGATTTTTAAAGCTTAAGAGCGCAGATTTGAGTTCTAAAATATAAGATGACCTTTTGACTTATCACAGAAAGTTAATAAAGGCCACATGAAAATATGAAATACTATATATATATATATATATTAGGTAATGTAATAGCAATGATTAAAAATTTAAAAACATTAAAAATTAAAAATGAAAGGGAAAGATGATTTGAACTTGAGATTAGATTCAAATTATGGTAAAAATGCTCAAACTATGGGTATGACCGCAAAATTAAGGTTTTACTAGATAAAAAAAAATAATAATAGGATAACAAATTAAAATACTAAGAATACAAAATAAATGTCTCATGTAGATAATTTAGTAATGAAAATAAAAGTTAAACTTTTATCCTGAAACTAAAAGAGAAAGAAATTTTAATTGCACGTGATATAAACTAATTACAAGAAAATACAATAGATTTAAAATTTGCTAATTAAAAAAACTTATGTATTCAATATTTTAGAATAATTCAAAGTTATGACTTAAAATAAAATGTGATATTACATATTTTGATTATTGGTAAAATACTAATATAAAAAGCTAATTAAATTTTCATAATAGGGGTAAAAATATATAAAGAGTAAAATAAAGGGAGTGTGAGAACACTTATACTTTGAATTAATTTAAGGATAAGTATATTAAATAATTAAATAATACTCAAAAATATTATTGATAGATTTAAATGACGAAAGAGTTCTAAGTAAGAGGATAAAAGTATAAAAATACATTAATTTTTAGGAATAAAAAAATTATATTTATATATGATTATCAAAAGGGTAATAAGCAAGATATTAAGTCAATTAAAAGATCACATGACAATTTAACAATGTTAGGTAATGAATAATGCAATAACTATAAGCAAAGATTAAAGAGAGATTTCTTTTTATGGTGAAAATATAGATGGATAAGACTTATTCGACTTTGAAGTAAAACATAAAGTGGTGGTAAGAATTTTATTAAAATAATATGGTCAAACAAGACAAATTACAACTTGATATGTTTAGTACTCTTTAATATCGACCACGGAATAAATGCAAGTACTAAAATCAAGGATGTTACAAATATAAAAAAGAAATATGTTATCCAGTACGAGATATGAGAAACAGTTTCATATCCTGCTTCTTAATTGATATCTAATGATTATATGTAATTTTTATCCGGGTGATTTAAATTTTAAGGTAAATTGCATATAATTCAAATAACCCAAATCATAATTTAATATTTTTGTCCGCGCATCGCGCGGCTATTAATACTAGTTGTTGAAGAATAAGCCAAGTAATCAATTGCAAGTTGAAAATTTGGGATTGGATTTGGTTCTTTTGGCTCGCATTTTTTATTTATAGAAAAGGATGAACTTTGCTGGATCTATGGATGTATTTATATTGCAACAGGCACATCAGATGACTAGCAACACTACATCCTTAAGCAACGTCTCCGAGAAATCAACATAGCCAATTCTTCCAAACTTTTTGGACCTACTTTAATTTACATTAAAAACTCAACTCTATTGTGTGTCTAAATGAAATGAGGTACATCAAAACATTATCTGTGAAGTTAGAAAGATCTCTAACAAGGTTAATTTTGATGAAATAAATTAGCTTTGTGGTGGAGTATATAACTGTAATTTGTACCAAGGTTGCTCAAAAGAGGGGTGATTTCTGAGATGGGAACAAAAAGATGATTCTTTGAATCTGAGATGAATAAATAAAACTGAAATCCAATCGATAACATATTAACTGAGACTCGATGAAATCACCGCCCTTGTTTTATTTATTTATTTAATAATCTTAAATTTACAATGGTTAGACAAAATGGGGGTTCCAATGGAGTATATGTAAGTGAGGGGTGCTATGTGTAATTCTTAAAATCTGGCTTTGTTAGGGTAAGTGCTATTTTTAACCAACTTTGCTAACCACATAGGTATTTTTGAATCAAAAGTATAATAATTGAGGTTAAATATAAACTATTTTTGAAAGTAGAGATGGTAAATTTGACACTTTTCCCTTTCTTTACTTGTACAAGCAACCATTCCAAAATCTAGAGGGAGAATGAAAAGGTTTGAAGGGGAACTTGTAATTATAATAACAGGAAATGGATATTTATGTTCCTTTACTTTAAAATATCGTATAAAAAACCCTTTGTTTCACTATCTGCCTCTAGGGTTCTTACCGTCATACTTTCAGGCATAAATATCCCTATTTTAAACGGTGAGCCACGTGTCGCCTCCTGAACGAATGTACCCACCCCAAACAAAATAAACCCATATATCACAAGAATCGCCCCGCTACCCGACCCAAAACCCCTAATTAATTAGACCCAAATACAAAACATTTCCCCATTTCCACCTAAACACCCCGTCTGAACCCCTCTTCTCTCTAGGGTTCCTTCAACATGTCCTCTTCTTAATTCTTCCACCTCGATTCATGGAATCTTAAGGTTATTCTCACCTAATTTCTTCTTAGTTTCATATTTATCTAACCATTAGGAATTATATAATGTCGGAAAAAAGTTGTGCATCGAAGAGGACATGTTATTGCGATGAAATGATCAATTTTTTCACCTCCAAAAGCATTGATAATCCTGGAAGGAGATTTTACAAGTGTCTGAAACCTGAAGTAAGTTTTATTTTTTGCATATTTTTAATTTTGTTGTTTTCTAATTTTCAGCTTTTACTCTTTATATTTTAGTTGGGGATCTTAGGGTTACTCTTTGTTGGTTTTGGTTTTACAGCAAGATTCTTGTGGTTACTGGGAGTGGAACGATGATGTGCTACCGGATAAAACATTGGTGGTAATTAGTAATTTAAAGGCTAAATTGGAGGCAGCGACATTTAAAATTTAGACTTTGAATACTTCATTGGATGCAGTTAAGATAGAAAGAGATAATTGGAAGCAAATGTGAAGATGAAGATGTTGATTATGATTTTATGTGCTCTGTTGGTTGGATTTGTTGTATCACAATTGATGAAGTGATGTATTATATTAGTGTTGTTATAATTTTTTTATGTTATATTTCAATTTGACCGGATAAAATGGATGTAGTCAATTTTTCCATTAATATGATGTGTTTTGTTCTTCATCCTAAACCCTATGTAAATGCTGCTCATGTTGTTGTAGTCTTCTTTGGCAACATTTTACATCAGAATTGCAGCATCAAATGACATCCCTAATGTCTTCCCTAATAGAGATAAAAAAAAAATGCAGGATTGATCCCTGCCAATTGATCCCTAATGTCTTCCTAATAGACATTAATTTGTCATATTAATATGGCGACATCCCTACATTTTTAACGTCCCTCTACAACGCACACACACAAATACAATACCAAATCAGCACACACAAACACAAAACAATACAAAATAACAGGGGAAATAAAACTTAAGATATAAAAGATACACAAAAGCAGCTATTGAATTAGCACACACAAACACAAAAGATACACAAAAATAACTGGAGATTCATACAACTTCAATCTAAGTAGAAGTTACAGTTAAAATAGATAATTGGATGCCACACTATAACATCACAAAAAACATACACAACCTGAATCATTATGTGGCATCCAAATCTTTAAGTATAATATCAATAAGCAATAATTATATTTATAAATTACCAAATCACCAAAATATGAGTACTGTCATAAGCAGTAATTACATCATCAAAATACAGATACTTTACATCCAAACACTACTGATATTACATCTATGTTTGACAATTAAATGAATTTGTTGCCAAGTCGGTAAACTTGTCTTCTTTTTTTTTCCATCTCAAGCATTTGGAAGGTCTTGGGACGAAATACTATCTCCTGAACAATTCACTAAAAAATAGTTTTGCATCCTTTATTTTCACACCACTGTCTGTAACTCACCCATGAAAATGTTAGTTGATACATCATTTTATCTACATTTAAATTATTATAACTGTAAAAATAGTGATTCTTAATACTTTTAAAACATTTGACTACATGAATAACAAAGTGAAAAAAAGAAAAAAATAAACTTAAGCAGGGCAGGGAGGGTTGAAAACATGAAAATTGATAAGCGGGGCGGGCTTAATATCGACTCTTGTTTAATGATATTTTGCTATATCCTTAATGGATTTGGCAAAGTTTAGTCCTCTCCACCTTTGCCTGTCTTTGTTCTGTGGGGTGGGCCGTGGGAGAGGTTAATTTTAATTCTGAAAGAAGAAAACTTTTCTATTTTCTATGGTTTATGGAGAACATCGTACCGCTCGTGCTCGACTTCGACATGTAATTCTGGTTTCCTCCCAGCTTTTTTCTATTTTCTTGGGCACAATTTTATTGAAAATATTGTTGCCTTTTTATGTGTGTAGGATCCTGTGGAGTGTAAGATTGACAAATTGTCGGACGAGTTGCTTGTGGCCATTCTTTCATATTTATCCCTGAAGGAAGCAGCAACAACCTCCCTTATCTCTCGTAGATGGAGATATTTATGGCAATATACATCTGGTTGTCTTGAGTTTTATGATGTGGATAAAAGGCCGGAGGCAGCACTCGAGATTATGAAGTTGGTAAATCAAGTTTTGAAATTGCACCAGGGTCCTAAGTTGCTCCGACATGGCAGTTTAGGTGCCGCACCCGTGTCGACACGACACTAGTATGGGTGTGGGTATGGGATCCGTACCGGATATGGTCAAATAATTTTGGGTACTTTGACCACGATGGACGAAAAAAATCGAGACGAGATACAATTTGATTCCCGAAATCAGAACCAAAACTAGGGTAAATTTGAATAAAATAGCATACCTTATCTAGGAAATCAATTTGTTATTTATCTACAACTTGAAAACAAAAAAGAAATCCACATTTTACAAGGTATATGTAAGTATTCCACAAAATTTCTCATAATTTGGAGATATTTTTATACTTCTATTTTTTTGAATTATTTTTAGCCGGATTCCCTCACCCATATCCATACTAGGATCCGTATCCCCGAATCTTAGAATTTATATCTCGAAGGATCCGACCTCTAGATCCGCACCCGTGTCGGACACCCACAACTTTAGATCAATTCCGAGTTGGTTTTAACTTTTTTGGTGGTTGTTCCACAACTGAAATTGATCGCTGGATTGAGTTTGCAATTCAAAAGGAAGTTAAATTATTTGAATTGAACTTACAAGCTGGCTGTGAATGTCATTTTGGCACTTATTATTTTCCTGACATTGGGAAATTGCTGTCTGGGGTTATTTGCAAGCTCAAATTTTCCAGATTTTGTTGTAATCTGAAATCACTTAGCCTGTTCGGTGTCAATGCCAAGGAGGAGATCCTTGAGTTTTTTCTCTCCAATTGTCCATATCTCGAGCAAGTCTGTGTTTCAGGTTCTGAATGTTTACGGAATTTGAAAGTTACTGGCCCACATCCAAGTTTGAAGTCCATGGAAATATCATGGTGTCACAATGTCAAGGGTCTAGAGATTGATGCTCCAAACCTAATGTCTTTTAAATACATAGGACCTGATATACTTGTGCCTTTTCAGAATGTTCCGCAGTTATCTGAGCTAACAATTGGAAGTCACTATTGTTATTCTTTTATTTTTAATGCTGACAAGCACACAAGCTATTCCTCTAAGCTGAGGAAGCTTAAACTAAAGGTGCCTTGTAAGGTTGTAATGCCACTCTGACAAGCACATCCTTTTTCCCCTTAATTTCCCTTGAAGTTGCATTTCGCTTTTATGATATTGACACACGTCTTATAAATTTCTTGGTCCAGGCTATGAGGGCAAGTTGGTTCACATTAGATTACCCCGATAATTTCCCTAGACTGAACAATCTAAGGGAGTTGGAATTGGACCTTATGTTAGAAGCTCGTGAAAGCCTGCACTTCTTCACTTTTTTTATCAAGGCAGCTCCTTTGCTGTCTTGATTCACAGCCCGGGTAAGTATCTCATCTTTACTCCCTCATCATATCATTTATATTCTACACACCCTGCCTCTAGACTTTATGGGTTCACTTAGTTAAATGTTGCTGGTCTTAGACTTGCCTTCCTATTTTGAGATGGTTGTTTTCTGCATTCTCTTCCCTGCCCTATCAGCAGTATTCATACTCACATTTTTTTCTTTTTTTTTCTTTTTGGTTTGATTTTTCTATTGAGGCAGATATTTTACACCCAAGTTTTACCTAAGGAGGTAATGTAACCAGTTACTTCCACTTTCGCAGAAGCTTTAAGTTTTCATATTAGAGATTATAACCAGTGTATTTTGTCCTCTGATTGGAGGTCTTTTTTTGTTGTTGCAGTATATCGATGGTTTGCGTATCGTCGAACGTGCAGCTCGGGAGGCTACTGATGGTTTTGTTCACAAACGTCTAAAGGTGGTGAAGTTAATTGGTTTTACAGGGTGTAGAAGTGATTATAAGCTTGCGTTGCATTTGCTAGAAATTGGACGAGGCTCTCTTAAGAAGATTATCCTACAGCCTACAAGTGACAGTCACGGCTTCAAGATTAAGAGAGTGACATTAATCGAAAAGCGGAGCAAGCAGCTTGAAGCAAAGTTGCCTCCAGGGGCTAAACTGGTGATGCTATAGTTTCAAATTCTTCTTGATTTACAATTTCAAGTATTTTTTAAATTATTGCTGTAAACGTTCGGATCTCTGTTTATTACTCTACCAATATGTGATGGTAATAGGCCAAGTTTCTCCGAGTTGAGAAGCACTTTTTTGTCAAAAAAAATAATTTTTTTTCAAAGTTGAAGTGTTTGGCCAAGCTTTTAGAAGAAAAAAAAAGTGTTTTTGAATAGAAGCAGAAATAGTTTTGGAGAAGCAGAAAAAAGTAGTTTTTTCTCGGAAGTACTTTTTTGAAGAGTACTTTTGAGAAAAATAAACTTAGAAGCATTTTTTAAAAGTTTGGCCAAACACAAATTGCTGCTTAGAAGTGCTTTTCAAATTAATTAGCCAAACACAAACTGTTTTTCACCAAAAATACTTTTGAAAAAATCGCTTTTGAAAAAAAACACTTCTCAAAATAAGCTGATTTTTCTAGCTTGGCCAAACAGACTATAAAATGGAATGGCGGAATATATATTTATTATTATTTGCACCTAATCTCTCCAGTAAAAGAATTGGAGAAATGCACAATTCACTTCATTTTGCTCTTTGTTTATCAATATTCTCAAATTCTTTATTTGCTTTATTTTGTATTGGTTTCAACCATTGGATTTAGTTTTAGAAACACGTAAACCCACATTATTTCATAATATTACCTTGTTGTTAGCTTCTCTCCTTCCCCTTTAACATCACAATCCTACCTTGGGCTACAACTTTGGTTGTGCTGTTGGAGTAATTAATCTTAGCATAAAATTTCGCATAAATATAACATTGTAATTGGCCGCATAAGACAAAAATAATTATTGCATAACCAATGCAACATTGGTTGGCGATATTAAACACTATTCATTTGAGTTACACGGGAATATATGCATTTTTTTTTTGCGAATATTAACTATTTAAATATAAAAATACCTTTAGCAGGTGCAGAGGACTATGCACCCACCGCTTTTTGCTGATACTCTGCACCCAATTTTTTTTTTTTTTTTTTTTTTTTTTTTTTTTTTTTTTTTTTTGTGACAATGAGTTTAAACTTAGTATTAAGATAGTAATATGTTTTGGACAATTTTAATTACATATAAAGTCAAAACTCTCTATAACACTATCCATATATAACAACACTTCATTATAAAAGTCAAGCTTTTTCGGAACCAATTCTTATGTTATGTTATAATATATGTTCTCTATAACAACACTTCGCTATAATATCCAAAAATATTCGGAATAAACGATACTGTTATAGAGAGGTTTGACGGTATACCTCAAACAAAAGACAATATGTGCCGGTCACCCGTTACGTTTAGATCCCCGCCGGTCTATAGTGAAGTTGTAAAACCAATTGTAGAAATGCACCTTTTTTATGGGTGTTTCGTTGCATAGTGCATTCAGCATTTCAGCTAAAGAAACCTGAGTAATTGAGGGTACCCCTCTTAAAAGCAAAAAAAATTTCACTTTGCACTTTCTTGTCTGAATGCTTTGATAGGGTTTAAGGCCTATAGTGACATAAAGTATTGAATTTGGTATGTGATTAAAATTCTACGATAATATTCTGGAATTTCTTATGTAAAATTTGAAACTCCATTCATCGGCTAACTTTCAATTACAAAAGCTAAAAAATATTTATTTACAAATTTTAGATATTTTTACACGGATAATCTTTTATTTAATAATATTTTTATTAATAACATTACTTTTTGTTTATTCCATAAATAGCCTTTTTTTTACAAGTATAGCAGGTTTCAAATTTTATGCGTATATTAAGCAATAAACGGACTCCACAAATTGTGGTATTAGTATCTCACTTTTGAGGAATATGTTTCGATTCCTCATTAGATTCTCTCAAAATACCTCCCACCACCACTCTATCTTTTCTATATATCCCCATTCTCGAAGGAGTTGTTGTCGTCGTCTCGAAGGAGTCTTCCCCTCTTTTCTACACTTTCCTTGTATATATATAATGTGTATTTTTGCATTAGATTTGGTACTTTTGACTTATATCATATGTATTTTAAATTTATATTTTAATTCACATTTAAATACACCTTATATCATTATTATACATTGTATAAAAATTATTTCACTATTATGCTATTTATATGACATGCATTTTAAACTTATATAATATGTATTTTAAATTTATATATTTTGATTCACATTTTAAATACACATTATATCATTATTATACATTGTATAAAAATTATTCCATTATTATGCAATTTATATGACATGCATATTAAGTTTATATCTCCTTAAAATCACATTTAAATACACATTATACCATGTATATAAGTAAACACAATCATTTAGATATGCAACAACAGATAATGTATATAAATTTAGACAACTATTACATGCGTGTAATAATAAATTAAAATCGTTAATTTGCACACATATGTAAAAGAGGCAACTAGATGGGATCTGATCCCTTTTAATGAATATCTATTAAATAGGAAAGGTTTGATGTGTTGGGTGAGAGAGATTTGCGGATACCGTTTCTTGCTTGTTGCTAATTTTGTAATTATTTTGCTGCTCCTTTTGTTTATTAAGTAACTGTGCACGTGTATTTAATTCTTAAATATCGCCCACTTATGAAATTGTCTCAAAATTTTGTAAAAATAGCACGGGCTAGCCAGTTTTCTGATTGGTCATTCAAAAATAGTTAGCGTTTGCAAAGTCATCGAAAAATAATCATTATTTTGCTGTAACACGGAGTTTTTAAGTTTTTAAGTTTATGTTAATTAAGAGATTCAGGATGACAGTAAGACGGGACAAAGGGAGCCAGGAATGGAAGAAAAAATGTAAGTATTTCGAATTATAGCTAGTGGGTCATTTCGAAATTTCATAAATTCATGGAATATTTACAAAAAAATATCAAATATATCAAATATTATCTTTTTCAAAATTGCCGACGAAATGATTTATAGACGTTTTTCCTTTTTAGGGAGATCAAATACATTACAAGAAAATCTGCATTATCTTACTTTTAAGAAACACGTACGCTGCTTAAACCCTCAAATCATAATGAAAAATCCAATGAGAAGAGTCAAAAGAAACAAATAGAATTGTATCCACATTCTTACAACAAGTTCATTCTTCACCGTCTTGGTTCGAATCGGAAAAGTTTCAAGAAGAGAAAAAGATATAATGTAGTGTTCGATTGTAGTAATTGAAGAAGTAGAAAAGACAGAAGGTAGAAGTTTTTTTCTAAACCAAACATGTTTTCGATTTTTTACAAGCTCTCTTTTTTTCTAAAAAATACTACTACTAGCTAGAAGTAAAGCGTTTGGACATAAAAATGTGAGATTCAAAAAAGTGATTTTTGAATTTCAGTTGCAAAAGATATTTGAAAAATGAACATGCATTTCACTGGAAAAAAAAAATAAATTTTATATATTTTATATTTGGACATATATTTTATTTGAATACAACATTGCAGTTTTTTTAGGAGAAACAACTTTTACTTGAAAAACATCTCCAAACATATTTATGAAGAAAAAGAGTAAAAAAAATAATACTAAACTCGTAAATATAATTATTTTTAAGGCTGAAAAAGAACTTGCTAAAAACTATTTACAAAAATATTAAAAAGGTACTAGTACACTTTAAAAAACATGTTGCGTGACAATCATTTTTAAAACACATGCTGCAAAAAGGATAAATCGAGCCAAAGTAATTAGTATTTGGAGTTAAAAGTTTAGCACGAGAAAAAGTGAAATAAAAGCATTTGGATTCTTTTAACAATGAGAAAATTATAGTTGAGATTTTTATATTTTCAGTACTTGTATTCATTTGAAAGATTACACTATCGTATTACAAAGCAATAAATTGAATTTGATACAAGCGTGAATAGCAAAAATATTACATTCTTGTGGAAAATGAGTTTTTTCTATTTGAAAGGGACCATATTCTATGTATAGAAGAGGAGATTATATTGGAAATTCGTATTACAGATTTAGAAAAAAAAATATGAGGAAAACAAAAGTTCTTTTAATAGGTATCAAAGATTTTGGGGTTTCCCTACGCAACTTCCACCTATGATTAAGAAGTTGTATACGGTCGAAATCGGGCATGTCCGATTTCACTACTAGAAATTCGGTAAAAACCGACCAAATAAACCGACCAATATTGATCGGTAATGGCAAAAAACCGACCAAAACGTGACCATTTATGTGTGGACGGTATTTTTGTGGTCGGAAAGGAATACCGACCAAAGTTGGTCGGAAATTACCGACCAACTTTGGTCGGTCAATTAAATTCAAAAAAAAAATATTGCAAAAAAAATCGACCAAAGTTTGTCGGTTTTTTCCGACCAAAGTTGGTCGGTATTTTAATTATGTAAAAAAAAAATTCACCATCTGGGAATCGAACCGGGGTCTGTACTGTGGCAGGATACTATTCTACTACTAGACCATTTGTACATTTTATTTTAAGACTGTCTTTTATTTGATTTATACTCTTTAATTGTATTTTCGTACGAAAATAACCGATCAAAGTTGGTCGGTTTTATTAAAAAGTAAAATTACAGATCAAAGTCGGTCAGTTTTTTTAAATGACCCGCCGAATTAACCGACCAATTTTAGTCGGTTTTTTTAATATTAATTTTTATTAATATTAATTGAAAAACCGACCAAAGTTGGTCGGTTTCTTGAAACATAAATTTCGCGGGACTCAAAAATAGTTTCCCGCATTTTTGCGCCAAAGAAAACCGACCAAAGTTGGTCGGTTTCTTGAAACATAAATTTCGCGGGACTCAAAAATAGTTTCCCGCATTTTTGCGCCAAAGAAAACCGACCAAAGTTGGTCGGTTTCTTGAAACATAAATTTCGCGGGACTCAAAAATAGTTTCCCGCATTTTTGCGCCAAAGAAAACCGACCAAAGTTGGTCGGTCGACTTTGGTCGATTTTTGCCGAATTTCTAGTAGTGTTTCATAGGCACGAGGAGCTGCCTCGAGAGTAAGCTCGTAATAGACCAGGCTCGAGCT